GTCTCCCGGCGGCGGGGTTTTAGGTGGAGTCGTCGGTCTGGTTGGTTAAAGGTACACGATGGGCTAAGCCAGCGCGAGAAGCTGGCAGAGGGTCATCCGAATAGTAAGTTTGGATCTCAATTTGCGCAATCGCCAAGTGTTTTCGAGGGTTCACGATCACAAAAACTTTGGAGAAAAGATCTTGGCAGAAAATGTGAGAAAAAGAGAAGGGAGAAGAGAGAGGAAATGCGAAGAGGAGGGCAGGTTAGGATAGGACAAGGCTGTAGGAAAACTACTAAGCTGAGCTGAGCAGATCAATTAGTCGGCTTCGCTCAGAGTCACCACCACAGAAGCAGGGCCAGCTCCAGGCCGCAGGATAGATGAGCAAGGAATGGCACACAAGGACGGGGCAGGATTGGAGATGGGCGGCTGGCGGGCAAGGTAGGCAGATGCAGGGCGCACCGCATGTCAGACTGGCCGCTCTCTCTCCCGAGACACGAAGCGTACCTCTGGGCCGTCCGTCTATCTGTCACTCGAGAGATAGAGCGAGCGAGCAAGGACACAAGAGTACCGGTAGCCAACGGGCGTGGCTTGCTTCTCGGAACGCCTCCGCACTTCCAGTTCCAGTTCAGGTCTTGAAAGTTGACATGAGTGACAAGCAGGCAAGGCGGTGCGGTGGTGTTGCGCCCACCTTTGCAAGCGAATGCAGGTGAACCTCGCCCCGGTATCAGGCTAGTCCCGCGAGGAGATCGACATGGCGGGCGATGAAAAGAGTGTCAACATGTCTGCTGCATGTTCCAACGTGGAGGAGGGGGGTGGAGGAGAAGCGCCAAAGGTGGAGGAGGAGGCGTTCTGGCGTCTTGGATCCGAGGTAGGGCTGCTAAGCTGTCGCTGCTGGCCTTCAGAACCCCCCAGGCAGACCCGTTTGGCTTCATCGGCGTGGCACATTCCTAAAGCTGGCCCCGCGATTGGTGTTTCTCAAGCGAAAGGAATGTCGCGGGCGTGACGGAGTTTGCTGGTAAAGTATTGAGGGAAGAGGGACGTTTGGTAGGGGGTTGTAAGCGATCAAGTCCACAACGTCGGTACGTACTATGACTGAATAAGCAAGGAACTTGAGGTAGGTAGCATTGGTACCTAGGTACTATGGTAGGCTCATCAGATGAACGCTGCAGCCACGAGGTCCAGCACAGCTAGCGCAGAGGCGCAGCTCAATACAAGCCCATCGACGTAACCTCTTAGAGTAAAGAGGCTCTAACAAGCATTTGGATCATTGCACAAAACGACGCCCAGTTGTGTAAGCCTCCCGATCTGCCTTGCCCGGTGCGCAGTTTGTTTTAAGTGGTCATCTGCCCTTTCATCATGAGGCATTACTGAGTAAGGTCAGGAAGGTAGACAGCCCTGACAACATACCTTATCTCAACTTCTCCATCGGTCACCCTTTGTGGCCACCGACGACAGCATCGCTTTTGCTCCATTTTTCTTCACCGAAGAGACAAACATCCAGAAGGGTTGCCTAACTCTTATTTTGACCGAAACAAACGCCCGATTACAGACAGCAAGTAACCCGTAGCTTTTCGGAAGACCCCGATTAAACATATTCGCTAGCAATACACGCCAGAACAGGCATAACTCATATTCTCGTCAATAAGGGGTTGTGCGTATATTTTGTTTCTCATTCACCAGCCCGTCCTTTGACCAACTGTTGATGACGGCCTCTATGCCTTGGTTGTGTTTCCGGAGATGCTCTGATGATCTCATGTCAGAAGGTGGCAGTGACGGTTAAAGTATACAGCGACTTACCTGAGAAATCAGATTGCGACCAATCTGGATAGTCTCGGCCATACCGCGTTGGCGAAGCCAGAATCTGTCACATCGTCAGTTTAAATCTTCAAAGTCAAGGGCAAGAACATCAACTTACGCCTCCTCGGCGCCTCCGTGGCCCTGAGTCGAGATCCTGCGGGCCTCATCCTCAAGAGCCTGCATGGTGATCATCTCCGTCTTCTCGATACCCGGAGTGGCAGCTTGGTCCGAAACGCCTTGGCCCAGGTTCTCCTCGAGCAGTCTCTTCTTCATCATGAAACGTTCCTTCTTCTCCCTTTGCAGTCCGGGGCTATCCAGCTTCTTCATAACGAGGCGAACGACGAACTGAGCGCCAAAGTAGAAGTGCTCCGAAAGGAGGATACTGAGGAGGAGACCCCATGCCTGAATGCTTCCAGGGGTACCACGAGGTCCATCGCCCTTGCCAGCGGATCTGCACAGGAATACAATCGAGGCGCTGGTGATGCTACCCAACCAAGACAAGAAGCCCAGGGCGTTGAGCCAGGGTCCGATGGAGTCGGCGCGCCACGGAATCGGCCGTCTGCTGCTAATGGCGATCTTGACAGCGTCCGACCTCATCTCGACCCAGTTGTTGACGAGGAAGCAGCAAGCTGTCAAAGGCCAGGCCACGGAGAAGAGAGAGAGGTAACCAAACTGGATGACCATCTCTCTGTAGTCTCCGGTAACATCGTAGGTCTCAAGCTCAGCTTCGTTTCTCACACGCTCCAAGAAGGCAGCCTCTTCCGGCTGGTCCTGGATCTTGGCAGCGCTGTCCTCCTTGGACATCTTGGACTGCACCTCTCTGACCTCCTGGAACACCTGGCGCTTGACGTACGGCACAATGACCTCGGTGGCAAAGTTGACGACCTGGGCGGTGACGGTGAAGTAGAACATCTGTTTGCTGATTCTCTCGGGGTTGATGGAAAACTCCTGAGTCTGGAAGTTGACGTCCTTGGGGGTGATCTTCTGCGCAGTTGTCCGCCAGAAGTCGAGGTAAGGAGTGAGATGGTCGCCGAAGGGCAGGTAGACAAAGGTGGTGAAGAACAGGGCCATGTAAGAGGTCAGGAAGTTGAGAACGAACTCCTTCTGAACCAAAGCCGCATGGTGGGCGTCAATCGTTTCGTAGTTTTCCATCTCAGTCAGTCTCGTCGCGAACTTGGTGAGCACGGTAGAGAAAGTAGGCGTCATAACCACCAGAATGACGGTCGGGAGGAAGGCCAAGTAGGACTGGAAAGGTCCATTGTATACCTCGTTGATGAAGATTTCCAGCGAGTTGCAGGTGACGATAAGAGTGCCCAGCACCACGATGCACGCTGCTGCGAAAGGGATCTGGAGAAGTTGCGTCTGCAGACGCTTGATGGGCGAGTAAATCTTGACGGGCTCTCCGGTGATGGGGTCCTCGGCCTGGCGCTCGAACTCGAATTGCGGGCGAGGGTGCTGGATGTTGGAGACGCCGCGGACGCCCCACTGTACGGCGAGGTCGACTTCCCTCTGCTTCCAGAACTCGAAGAAGATGACGGACCACAGGCAACTGACGAGAGCATAGAGCCAGGAGAACTGGCCAAGGAACATCCAAGCACCAAAGCCGGCGGCGGCGGGAACGACGAGGAACTTGAAATAGGTCTGCATAAAGGCAAAGTAGAAGGCGACGCTCTCGCCGAACTTATCGCGAATCTCGTCGAGGTCGTTCTCGTCCGTCTGTCCCTTTGTGCTCACCCTCTTGATCCACTGGCGGTTGAAGGAGTGGTTGTGGAGGGGGAAGATGCTGGCGACGTGCTTCCACTTGCCGGACTCGGGGGTGATGCCGGCTCCGCCCTCGTTCTTGGGCTTCACCATGGGCAGGTAGACGAGGCGCAGGCGCTCGGCGTCGGAGACGGGCTCATCGCGGAGAGCCTGGGAGAGGTCCTTGTCTGCGGTGTTGGTTCGAGCGCCCTGTAGCCAGTCTTGCAGTCTGGATCGGTAGACTTGGTCGGCGAGGAACTTGTCGGCGATCTTGATGAAGACGAGGACGGAGCTCTTGTCGCCTCTCCGGACCTCGGTGGTCAGGCCAACATGGGTCAAGGCTTCGATTAGCTGGACGAATGAAGCTTCGGCGCTGGCGCGGTCTGGATGAAGTAATGGGTCAGTTCTCGTGGTGAGGCACAGAGGCAAAGGGGGACTCACCCTCTTGCGGGATCTTGTAGTTGATGACATAGTCGACGCCAAAGTTGGTGTCTAGACCCTTGGTCTTCTCATCGCTGTAAAGGTCGCGAAGAGTCGCCATTGCTGCTGCGGACCGCGGGTTCGTCCCAAGAGATCAGTCGTCGGGAGCTCGAGCACGGATGGTATGTGTGCAGGGTAGGAGGTCTGGATTGTAGAGATGGGATGCACTTTGAGACAAGATATGAGAGCTATCCAAAGGCTCGAAAGTGACGGAATCACGACAAGAGAAAAGGTGGTAGGGTTCGCGATGGTCTTAAAGCCAAGTGCGAGAATGTTAGCCAAGTGGCTGAAAGTAATGACGGTGATGTCTCGCTTGGCAGGTTTTTTTCAATGAACAGAAGGAGAGAGGAGGGAGCTTGGGCGTTTGGCTGGCTGGCGGGACTGAGGGAACCGTCACGTCACCGCGCAGGGCCCCGACTTGGCCGGGGAGCTCATTTTCAGGGAACAAGCTCTAGTCGATCCCACCACCGCTACGCCAAACATGGATTGGCGCTGCCGTGTCGCTGGGAAAGGTCCAGTGGTGTTGTACTTGGTGGGCTTGTAGCATCGTAGCAGTGACATTGGTGGTGCGTGGCTCGTGCTGCCCCGGCCTCCCCCTCCACCACTCCCCTCCTCCTCTGGCCCCCAGCATAGCTGAACCGCCGCCATGCCAGGTGCCGGCCGGCCCACCTCACTGTGGACATGGCAACATGCACTGACTGATTGACTTCTGACGGGTGGATTGTCATTGGATTGCACATGTGCTGGCTGGTGCTGTCATCGGTGGGGTTTCAGCTTTGGCAGCTGCTTGGAGCTCCCTCTGCCCCATGTGAAGATCCGTCCGGCCAACCTCAACACCACTTCACCTCACCTCACCTCACCTCACCACACCGTATCTCACCTCAATTCATATCACCAATTTCACTCACCTCGCACAGCAGCTCACATGGAAGTCGTATAATCCCTGCGTCCCTTCACTCGATATCCCCACGACCAGGGACACCGGCGGACACACTCTCCAAATGACTCTCCTCACAGCCCTCGGCCTCCGCCGCCAAAACGACTGGGAGCCCCTAACCCTTATCGACGCCATCCTTCTCTCACCCCTAAACCTCCTCGTCACAATCATCTACAGCATAATCCTCTTCCTCCGCGGTCGACCCTTCACCCCGCCCCGCGACAAGCCCGCCATCCGCATCGTCTGCCTCTCCGACACCCACGACCGCACCGACGTTGACATACCCCCGGGGGACCTCCTCATCCACGCCGGCGACCTCACCAACGCCGGCACCGTCGCCGACATCCAGGCCCAGCTCGACTGGCTCGCCGCTCAGCCCCACCAGCACAAGATCCTCGTGTGCGGCAACCATGACAGTTTCTTCGATCCCAGCGCCCGTCTGCCCGAGGACCGCGGCAAGAGCCTCGATTTCAAGGGGGTCCGCTATCTCATCCGTGATGCCGTCACGCTGGAGTTCAAGGGTGGCCGTCACTTGAAGATCTATGGTGCCCCTGATATCCCGACCTGCGGCGGTTCAGAAATGGCTTTCCAATATGATCGTTCATCACCGCCCTGGACCAACACGGTACCAATTGACACTGACGTTTTGATCACTCACACACCACCAGTAAGTCTCATCTCATCTCATAGTACTTCATTTCACTTCGTCTCATCCTCTCCACCTGCGAAAACTTCCTCGTCTAACACAAGCCACAAGAAAACCCACCTAGACCTAAACCTAGGCTGCCCAGCCCTCCTCCAAGAAGTCTGGCGCGTCCGCCCCAAACTCCACGTCTTCGGCCACGTCCACTGGGGCCACGGCCGCCAGAGCGTCCACTTTGACGACTGCCAGCGCGCCTACGAGGCCCTCATGTCCCGCCCGCCCCGCGGCCTCTTCCGCGACCTCTTCCCCCACGCTGGCTGGCGGGACGCTCTCGCCGTCCTGGGCTACGGCATACACGGCGTCGTCTGGAAGTGGCTCATGGTCGGGCCCGGCGGCAACACCAGCAGTCTCATGGTCAACGCCGCGCAAATGTACGGCAACACGGGGCGGCTGGGGAACCCGGTGGAAGTAGTGGATTTGTAATGAAATAAAGAGCAAGACAATGACTTGGGATCATAAAGTTTTTGTGTACCTATAAGAACTACGTATAATGTAGTAAGGCGATGCGCCCGTTGCGCTGGTGTGGTATCATGGCGATGTCTATGCTAATGAGTGTGGTGGAGGAAATCAACGAAAGAAACCAAGCAGAAAGATAGAAAGAAGTGAGAAAGAGAGAGAGACCAAATGCGCCGCCAATATGCACCGGGAACCAGCCCACCGAGTCGCACGTCGCCCCGACGTCAAATCCACAATTCCCACTTCATCAGAAAAACATCAACGCGAATCGTACAACCGCAATGGCGACCCCCAACCCAACAGCCCACCCAAAGTTCACCTCCGCCACGGACGCCCCTGCACTAACAGACACCATCGACGGAGTGGGTCTCCCGGTCGCGGGCGGCGTCGCCGCCGCACCAGTCACCGATCCAGTGGGCCAATACCCCGTCGACGTCCCGGCTCCGGCCCCGGCCCCGGTGCCCGGCACCGCAAGCACCAAAAACGGCACCGTAAGCGTCACACGGTCCGCGCCGTCGGCACCACACCCGGCGCACGAGGCCACCGTCGTCGTCATCGGCACGCTCACGGCCGCGGGCTGCATCCCGTCACCGCCGCAGTACTTGTTGCACCCCGGCACCAGGATCGTGGTACAGTGCTCCGCGGGCGTCAGGCGCGCCGCGTCGGTGGCGCAGACGGTGGTGTACGTCACCGTCGTGACGAGCGTCGATGTGGGTGGGGTATGGGGTTCCGGGTCGCCCAGGGGCGGGGCGTTGGGGGGTACTTCGTCTGTGAGACGGGCGTAGACTGACAAGAGGTAGGTTGAGGGCGCGGCGCGGCGGTGGAGGTGGAGGTGCATGAGGCGGCGGTGGGGGTTCGAGGAGAAGGACGGCGGCAGGGTGTCTCGCTTTGGCTTCGTGGCTGGGGTGCTTGTGGTGCCGCCGCAGAGCTGGGTGCTGTTTCCTGGGCAGGGGCTGTTGCAGAGGGCGCGGTCTGTCGTTGCTCTGGTGTCTGGGTCGAGGTCGTCTGCGCAGAAGCATTCGCTGGGAAGGGGATGTGTTAGTGGGAGAGGATTTATCTGAGAAGAGGGTTCGGGACGTTACCTTTCGCGGACACCGGCGTATTTCCCGGGTCTGCAGAGATCAATACACTTGCCGAGCGTCATATCCGCCGCCGAGGCCTTGAGCAAGAAGCTCTGAAACCCGGTCCCGGAGCCGAAGCAGCCGAGATACGCATACTCCCCAATCGTCGCCGGCTCGCGCCCTGGGACTACGGGGTCCGTCGAGGGGCTCGGCGGCGCGGTGGCGGTCGGTCCCACGACGGTGGACAGGACGACGGACGAGACTTGGGAGGACTGCATTGTGGCGGTGGAAACGATGACAGTGCCGTTTTGCGTGAAACTCGTCACGATAGTGGCAGGGTTCGGTACCGTGGTGTAGATTGTCGATGTAGTCTGGACCGTTGTCGTTGTCGTCGGCTCGGACGGGCTGGCGGTGGTGTTCGTGGCGAGGCCTTGTTCGTAGACGTCGATGTAGTTGACTTCCCAGTATCTGATTTCCCGCTTCTCGTCAGGGAGGTTCCAGGGAGCATGTGTGAGAAAGGTCCGATGACTTACGCGTTTGCGAATGCGGTAGGATTGTTCGCCACGTACTCGACGCACGTCGGCGCTCGCTGATTACAGGTGTCCCCGTCCTTGCCCCAGATGTTGGCAGCATAATCACCGCAAAAGTTCTGAACGTCTCAAAGTCAGCTTGATTTGTAATATACTCACGCAACTTCGCGCAGAACATACCGTCTGAATCACAATACTCATATCCTTAAAGTATGTGTCTACATCACACGACGACGTCCCAAACAGCGCAGATGGCAGGCCCCAGCCGGACGGATCGGGGTTCTTGGCAATAATATCGTCCGGGATGCTCTGCCTCGGCCAGTGCCAGATACTGATGGCCTCCGAGGTCCACTCGAGCGCGTAGACGCCGCCGCCGACTGCGTTGAAAGCGTCTCCGTAGGTGTGTGTGTCCGAGGCGGGGGGAAGGTAGTTGCAGCCGGCGTTGTTGGTGGTCTAATTTTTGGTGTCTTGTTAGCAAGAGAGCACACAGCCACACATCACCAAATGATGAATACACAAGGGGCCGTGGGCTTCACTGAGGAGACTACATACACCTGGGCTTTCACAGTCGAGGAGGAGAGGTTGGCCGGCGGCTGCGGGGGAGTCTGGGATACGGCATCCTGATGTACTAGATTGATCGTGTTAAACCCGACTTCTAGATATGGCATGAAGGAGTGCGAGACTCACGTGTGTCCGGAGAGGATATTCTTTGTAGCCTGGTTCGCGCCCTCGATGATATCAATTTCTCCGCTTGTAGGCCAGTCCGGTCCATACATCCAGACTACCAGATTCAATGTAAGCTAGTGAGCCAAGAAAGGTAATCCGATACGTCTTCAACGGGTCTGATCCCCTCCAAGACTCGGCAAGATGAAGAGACCCAAAAAGGAGAGATCCAAACTTACACGCAGGCCACAACCCACAAACCGACGGCGGCATGTGCGCGAAATCACCGATAAACAGTCCATGGTTATACTGCCTCTTGCTCTCTAGCCTCAGACTCGGCCGTCCGTCGCTGAGGCCGTACGTGTTCTTGTTATCCACGCCCAGCGTCACGGCCTGCGTGTCCGGGTCGATGAAGTAGAGGCCCTTTGCAAGGGCGTCGGGCTGGCTTTGGTACCTATCTTTGCCGTTAGTTCATCCACGTCCAACTCCGCTCGACTAACAACAGGGTCTAGGCCGATATCTGTGAGTAGGAGGAGGAAAGGACGTACCTTACGAAGCCGTTGGATGGGTCGGCATAGTTGATAAAGTTGAAGTCTGAAATCAAGTTCGCGCCGAAGTACGACTGCGATAAGCTGTACGCCATGTTGGCTTCTCTTCCTCTTCCTCTTCCTCTCCTAATGTTCCTTTACACCTTTGTTCGTGTCTTCTCGAGGCTTTTTTGCCGTGCCCTTTGTCGTGTTAAGAGATTCAAGAGAGTGTATGAATGACCACCCTAAAAACAATCTGAATAGAGCGAGAGAGGTCGGGTGCGTCAGCGATCGATGATCGGAAACCGATGGGCATACACACGTCAACGAGAGACTCTGGTTGATTCAGATAAACAGAGAGAGAGAGAGAGATAGAGAGAAGGAGAGTGAGAGAGAGCAAACGCCACGACTCAGTTTCGATGATCGAACAGAAACCAGATGTCATGAGACCCTTCAGAGAGAGGGGTGTAGTTTCCTTATAACCCTTTGCTCGTCAACATCTCCCTTGCGACTGATCCAGGAACAGAACCGCCAAAGATGCGAACCTCGACGAATGGATTTCCAAGTCTGCCCTCCTCCACATGAGAACCACACCACCATCATCGCAGCCCTCACTCCCGGTCAGGAATGCCACTGCTCGACCGCCGTCTGGCCGAGGACCTGTCCAAGGACCCAAGCCCTTGGGATGCTCGAGATCCATCTATCTCCCTCCCAGCCTCCTCAAGCAAACCTATTTAGAACAGGTGACGTTTGCTTCTCCACAAGAAGCACTTGCTCATATGGGTCTACGCCTAGTTGGAAGAACAGAGAACCAAAAAGGATAAGAAAGCTAGACCGGTCTGGTGGAAGTCGACAGAGAATCCAATACGCAGGTAATCCATTTCGAGAGACCCAACCACGCAACATCCACTCCAAAAAGAGAAAGTCAAGGAAGCAGACCAAGCTTGACGAGAGAAAGAAGGGAAACAAGAGGAATGCAAGCATCGCTAGCTTCGCTCAGAAAGTTGCCTTCCTCTCTGCCCATCCATAAACCCTCCGAGCGTAGCAGACTCGGCAGACCGAGACATCCTGACGGCGAGACAGGAGGTGCGCCGCCCAGGCAAAAAAAAGAAGTGGAAGCAAACCCGTTCGAAGAAGAGAGGCCCGACCAACCGTGAGCGAAAAACGTGAAACCCAATAGAGAAGTAGAATCGAATGCCAGATCACGTAGAAAGGGATCGGGGGGGGGGGGGGGGCGTGGGGCCGGACCACCGCCCCGATGTGAGACATCCTCCCCTCCATTCCAAGCGGTGGAGGTATTCTCAGTCCCGCATTCTTCATGTCCGACCCTTGCTTCCACCGGGTTTCCACCTCCGAAGTTCTCAGAGCCAGAAAAGAAAAGACAAACAAAAGGACAACGATGCTCTAGATCGTGAGTGGGTATATTATTCATATGGTGGATATGGCATACAAGCGGAAACAAAAAAGGACAAGTTCGTGACCCAAACGCCATGGCCTTTTTCGGCTTATGCCCACCACCTTTAAGCAATCCCTCCCCTCAACACTCACCGCCGACTCTTTCTCGTCGTCGGTAAACTACTGACCCAAATTCTCTCACTTGTACCAGTCTTACACCATGATCCTCCTCAGCCCCTCCGTGCCTCCCAGGACGCGTCGGCCAGTGACCGCACACCGCCCCTGTCCGCTCTCCCACTTGCCTTCCTTGTCTCCCATGAAATCTTCCTGCATCGGATGCAAACCCTCCACCCACCGGTGAATGCACGTGTAGCAGTACACAATACCCGTCTGACACGCCGTCGGTGTAACGATGGGATCCTCGCAAATAGGGCACAGCGCCGAGTCCTCAGGCGCAGTCACCGTATAGATGGGCAACAGCGAAGGCGTCGCGATAGGCGCCGTCTCAGCAGCCGGAACAGCCGCGTCCGCCGACTCGTCGTCGCCGCTGACCGCCTTCTCCTTGCCCTTGCCCGTCGCGGCAGCACCTGCTCTTCCAGCTCCTCCCTTGCCAGCCCCCAGGCCCGAGACCACAGGGGGCGGGAGATCCAGCGTCTCGGACGCCTTACGCGACAGCTGCTTGGCAAAGTCGGACGCGTGCCACCACTCGAGAAACTTGAGCGCAAAGATGCTCATGGGCAGCAGCAGAGACAGGCTGGAGAGCAGACGCGGGCCCATCTCGCGCGGGGAGA